TGAGGAAAAGAAATACATATTTGTAGAAACGATATACTGCTGTATCCTATATCATACATAAGAAAGCATCTTTCTTGAATGTCACAGCAAAATAGCTCGTGTTCTGTTGCATATTGCCTTCTAATCCAGTATTTTCACTTATCTTGCATTCTGCTTGCCAATGAAGTAATTTTGCATATGCTATGTAATATCCTTTCTCGGCTGTTGTTATCATGCGGCTGTTTTAGAAGGAAGCAACTAAGCTGCTGGTTAGAATTTTCAGAGCACATTCTGCAATTAAGTAACCTTCAGGTGCTTAATTAGATCTACAAAGAGAATATAAATACTGCAATTACCCTGAAAAATATTTAGGTAATAATATCTCTTATAAAAATCAACAACTATTATTCAAAGACCTTCGTAAGCAGTGATAATCTCAGCAACCTTTATGCTTCTGTAATGTTGATGTGTCTGAAATATTGCTGTTGTGCAATCTCTTATAGATGGGACTGCTCCTAACCTTGTGTTCCATAGACATATCTTGGTTATTTCATTCATCACTGTTCAGGCACCGTGAATCTAGGAATAAATTAGTGTGGAAAGATTTTTTCTCATCATCATCCTGAATAGTAGCATTGTTTGTCAAGCACCATGTATATATTGTTCTTATGGATTCAGTGATCATTGTTCAGCCAGGTGCAAATGAGAGATAGTCTATTTGATCATTCATCTCCCTTTTGTTGGGTGACTGTGATGGGTCATTCAAACCACCGCCAATGGGATTACAAGGTCCACAGGCTGTCTGTCATGCCCCCGTTGGAGCCTGAATCTGCAGCGGAAGATGAGCTGGCACAAGAACTGACAGCGAGTGAAAGGGTAGCTCTCTTGGAGGAAACTGGGGAAGGGCAGAGTCAGTCCAGGAAAGGCTTTTTTGCATTAGTAAGTCCTGCAGGAAGGGAGGAACAGAGGCAGGATGAACAGGAGAGACAGAGCTCAGACGAAGAGCAAGAACCACCCCTCCTGATGCAAGGGCTCGGAGAGTGCAGAGAAAGCATGATCAGCGCAGACTGAGCAGGCTACTCACGAGGTGAGTGCCCCTCCCCATCTTCACCAGGCACACCTGGGGAATGAGACTTAAGGAGACCCTGTGGGGAGGAGCATTTGTCAGGAACAAATGCTCAGTTCCTGAAGTGTTGCGTCCCGATGTTTGAACTTGCCAAAAGTCTTTGCATTCCTTTTGGTGTTCTGGACTAATGACCTGGATCTTTTGCTCCCCGAACTCCTTGTTTTGCCAAATACATTTGGGATTTAGTGCCATGCAGCCTTGGTGCAGACAGCACTGGGCTGGACTAATTGCAGCCAGAGGCTGCTTGAGGTTTGTGTGGGGGTTTGTTATCACTCTGTTCTGGGACTTGCCAGAAACGTTTGTTTGTTTGTTTGTTTGTTTGTTTGTTTGTTTGTTTGTTATATTTCTATGCTGCCCACTCTCTGAGGACTCTGGGCGTCTTACACCAAAGACAGTATACTAAATAGCATATTGCCCCCTAACAATCTCTGTCCTCATTTTACCCACCTCAGAAGGATGGAAGTCTGAGTCAACCTTGAGCCGGTGAGATTTGATCTGCTGATCTGCTGAACTAGCAGACAGCTGAAGTAGCTGCAGTACTGCACCCTAACCATTGCGCCACCTCGGCTCTTATCAAGTGGGAGTGTTTGGGGAGATTTGGAGCAATAAAGAGGCAGTTTGAACTGCTAACTGTTTGTGTTATCTCTGTGCCATGCCCTGGGTCATCACACTGTCTTTGGTGAGCAGTTTCTCTTTGGCCGGGTAAAGAGATTAAGTCTCTCAAAGGGTGAGAAAAAAACCCACAGAGATTTTGGGAGCTTTGAAAATTACCTTTCAGCTGCTGTATTGATGAGGTTCTTGCATGGAGTGAAGAAATGATTTTATTCAATGATTTTAACTATTATAATAATACAGGGAAGTAGAAGGCTATCTGGCAAGGCTAAGATCAGGGAGGAGTGTTTGATGAGAAACCAGATAACGTGAGATAACCACACCACTGTAAGTATCTGTAATTGCAAAGCATTGTGAAGGCATATTTGGCATCTATCTATCTATCTATCTATCTATCTATCTATCTATCTATCTATCATGAGATACTCACTTCTTACTCAGTTGGGTATGTCTTCTGGTCCTGTAGCTTTCGCTAAAAGCTTGATTACTTACAATTGACTGTTACATTATATAAAACTTTAAACAAAATTTTGCAAACAGAAACCAGTTCCTTTTAACAGCTTATCCCCCATTGGCCCCAATCATATTTTTGTTTTTCAAGAAACTGAAACTTATGTTTGGGTTATGTTCTAACTCATATCTGTCCATAAGGATCTACTTACAGTGAAATATCCAGATGTGTTCCAAGGAGGATTTATGACAAAATCCTACATAAAGAATTTTCATCCCTAGCCATGAAGATGGAACCTGAAGGTCCAAGACATAATAAGTCTTTAATAAGTGCTGAAATTAATAAGATGAAATATGTACTGTATCTTTAAAATGGCCCAGAAAGTATGTTATGTCACACTGGTAACATTTGAGGCTTAAAATCAGTGGTGGGATTCAAATAATTTAACAATCGGTTCGCCCAGGGTCAGGTTGGCCATTGTGGGAGGCATGGCCCATCCCCGTCCTCCAGCTCTGCTGCACATGCGGGAAGAGCTTCCCGCGATGGCCAATGTGACTCTGGGTGAACCAGTTGCTATCAAAGTGGATCCTAGGTACTGCGCTGCAATGGAGAAATACGAAATGGAGCGGCCGGCACAAGGGAAGGAGCAGGAGCAGGGAGAAGAAAGAGAGAAAGCGGCCTCCTTCCCTTGCGCCGGCTGCTCTGTTGTCTGTTTCTCCAGCGCAGCGCAGTGCTGTGGAATTTGCCCCACCCACCACCACCCAGATGGCCTCGCTTCCCCCAAGAAAGTTGATCAAAGAAAGAGAATTCCATCATGTGCTGAATGCCATAATTAAACCATGGCTTCCTAAGATGCCATCTCTGTTACTGGATAAAGCAAGGAGGGCGACTCAAGGCAGCGAGCACCTCCAGCCCCAACAAAGTGAGAAAAGAATAAACGTGAGAGCAGTGCTCACCCGCATCCCTTTTCCGCCCTCGAACAGTGTGCTTCTCCTAAAAACCCCTGGTTTGATGCGCCTGCCCACTCTGCCTCTTTCCACGGCGCCCCTCCCATGCCCATGTTCAGCTTGTTGGCACCTTTCCTCAGCAGCATCTCTCACACACACACACACACACACACACACAGGGATGAATGGGGCAGAGGTGGGTTTCAGCAGATTCTGACTAGTTCTGGAGAACCGGTAGCAGAAAGTTTGAGTAGTTCGGAGAACTGGTAAATACCACCTCTGACTGGCCCCACCCCCATCTATTCTCTGCCTCCCAAGTCTTAGCTGATTGGGAGGAAATGGGGATTTTGCAGTAACCTTCCCCTGGAGTGGGGAGGGAATTGAGATTTTACAGTATCCTTCCCCTGCCACACCCACCAAACCACACCCACAGAACCGGTAGTAAAAAAATTTTGAAACCCACCACTGGAATGGGCAGTTGGCTTCCAGTGCCAGAGAGGGCAGGGAAAGGAATCTGCCGGGCTGCCGGTACAAACCGGCTGAATCCCACCACTATTTAAAAGCCAACTGTTTGGTGTAAATTTCTGAAATTATTCTTCAATTACTTTTTTTTTTTAACATCTATTCACTGCAAAAAGGTTGGGGTTGTTTTTAGTTGTTAATTTGGCTAATTTAACTTTTGTGGGAGTGAACAGTTACTACAGCCTACAAAACCATATGTATCTTATAGTTAGGATGGGAGGCTTTTGATACAATTAAAATGCTGGTAGGTTTTTTTTTTATATAAGGCTTTAATATTATATAAAAGCATGATATATGTTCAAAGAACGGCACCATATTTCTGAAATGCAAAATAGTTTAGCAATAAACAATTTTAGATTCTTCTGTTTAACATCAAGATATTAATGTTATAAATAATTTTGGTTTAAATGTGTTTTTTTTTTTTCAAATGGTGGTGTTCTAGCCATCGTGATGAACAGCAAAAGGTTAGTTGCAAAAGAAGTTAGTCCATTCCTTCATAAGGAGGATGCCTTTTACAAGAAGGATAACGTAACTTAAATTTTTTTAAGTAGCACTGCAGTTCTTTAAGTTGACTTCTTATCATCATTTGCTTTCACTTACTTGATTGTCAGAAGTTCAGGGTGATAGAACAGATGTTGGGTGTTATAATTCATTATATTTCTTTTCAGTTTTTATATTTTCAAATTAACCTGCTTTGCACAAAATCAATACTCAAAATGCTTTTGCAGTCATTCACCAACATACAAAGCGCTGAAAAAAATTTGAATTGCCCAATGTGACATTCCCTACTGAGTTTCAGTATTTGCTAATCCAGTGTTAATGGCGATTTTATAGAATATAAAGTAACACGAATAACAACAATTCCATTACAGTTCAAATGAGAAAATTGTGATTACTTTATTATTTCATTTCATTTTCATTTTTGTACTAATGTAATTGTAGAAGGGGACTACTGTATCAAGGATTCAGAGTGGTACCAAATTTCATTGGTAATAACAATATTTCCTTGTGCAAGCACAAATATTGTAACCTAATGAAGAACTTGATACTGTCATCTTTGTGATTCAGAAATGTGGAAAAAGAAAGCTGCTAATATTCAATGCATTTTATTTAAATGCACAGTTAAGTTGGAAGAATGCAGGTATAAAATAATAATAATAATACACAGGTCTCATTTTAATATCTTTTTAGATTTTAGAATGTTTTTTGTGTACAGATTCAAGATAGTGCACTTCCTGCAAAATAAGATTTTTTTTTTCCAGCTGGAATTATCTCTGGTTGCAATAAGTCTCGATAGCAGAGTTGACCATTACATAATTGTTTAGAATGAATATTTTTCTCTTTCTCTATTTCATATCTTTAGGGTATTCAGTTAACTCCTAGACGATGGCTAAACCTGCAAGAATACCAGAGTAAGAAATTGATGGCTGATCATGGGGTCACAGTTCAGAAATTCTTCGTGGCTGACACTGCAAATGATGCTATTGAGGCTGCTAAAAGATTACGTAAGTTGACTAATCATAGAATTAAGCCCTCATTGGCTATTAACCAGCCTGAAAATTAATTTACGCTGCAGTAAATAAGTATGCATAGTTACTGTGATCTTCAAAGCTGGAGCATTTTTTATTCTGGAGAATAGAAATGTGTGAAGAAAATGAACATGTGTTCATTTTTGGATTTTTAACTTACAGTCCAGATATCCGAATGGTTACAGTAAAGGTATTATTATGTAACTGTTCCAATGGCTTTCCAGGATTTAATTTCATTCCTTTGAAACAATTTTTATAGTAATGTCAAGCGTAGGGAATCAGGATTCCAGGCAGTAAAAAATAGAAAGAAATGTGTGAAGAAAATGAACATGTGTTCATTTTTGGATTTTTAACCCTTACAGTCCAGATATTCCGAATGGTTACAGTAAAGGTATTATTATGTAACTGTTCCAATGGCTTTCCAGGATTTAATTTCATTCCTTTGAAACAAATTTTTATAGTAATGTCAAGCGTAGGGAATCAGGATTCCAGGCAGTTCAAATGAATTTATAGGTTTATTGTAAGCTTAAGCTCTCTACAAGCCATGGTGGCGCAGTGGCTAGAGTGCAGTACTGCAGGCTACTTCTGCTGCCTGCCGGCTGCCTGCAATTTGACAGTTCAAATCTCACCAGGCTCAAGGTTGACTCAGCCTTCCATCTTTCCAAGGTGGGTAAAATGAGGACCCAAATTGTTGGGGGCAACAGGCTGACTCTGTAAACCACTTAGAGAGGGCTGTAAGGCACTGTGAAGCGGTATATAAGTCTAAATGCTATTGCTATTGCTACAACAATCTGAGCTACTAATGGTCAAAGGGAGTTGGTAGTAGATAAGAGTCAATGGGATTCAAGGTGGGCTGGACTTAGATCCATTGTGGGTGCGAAGGGACTCGAGACTTACGATGCATTTGACCACTCCCTTGGGCTCATCATGGTGATCTCCTATAAGTAAACATGGATAGCGAGCACTGATAGAATTGTAACCAAAATGGAAGATAACACTATATCTGGGAGAATTGAGAAATTTGCAGAAGTCCTTTAATTCCAGCAGGTATAAACGCAGTGAGAAAAAAATAATGCAAAAAATATTTTGAATAAAAGATACTATAAGGGACTAATCAACACAAAAATATTATAATGAATGTATAATTTAATTTATGTATATGATGTGATTTGTATAGCTACCTATCTCATACAAGTGATTCTGGGTGGCTGACAAGGATTGAAGCACAATCAAACCCACAAAATGTAACCCTAGGCCTCTGAGGATAAACAGTAACCCTAGTCTCAGAAAAAGGCCTACTGATAACAGCAGAGTTTATTTATCCACCTGTTCCAAAGGTCTGGAGAAATAGGTAAATCTTCAATGCCTTGCAAAAAAGCTAATAGGAATGGAGCCACCTGAATCTCCAGGAGATGCTGTTTCACAGGGTAGGTCTTGCCACCAAGAAGGCTTGACTCCAAGATCTGAAAAGATGACATTGTCCAATAGATGGGAGCTGGAGCATGCCACCTTTGCTAATCTGGTGGGGCGATCAGAAACAATAGAAGAAACAATAGAAGAAACATAAGTACCTTGGTCCTGTGCCCTGGAGGCTTTATAGGTGATGACCAGCATCTTGAATTGCACCTGGAATCTTAAACTGGGAATCAGTGCAACTCACAGAGCAGCAAAGTTGTATGAATATAACAAGAAACACTCTAAACTGCTTGCGCGACTGCATTCTGCGCCAGCTGCAGCCTGTGAATGTTCTTCAAAAGCCAGCCCTATTGTGAAGTTCAGTATAGTAATCCAGCTAGGAGCTGATCAGTATTCAATCAGTATTCAGTATTTTTAAACATCCACATCTGTAAATACACTCATACGTATTATTTAATACACCTGCCTGTGCAAACACAAATACTCACAAACTGTCCAGGGGAGGAGAACATCAAAAAGCAACTACAATGGAGGAGGTTAAATCACTTCTCCCATGTGATTGTCAAACTGCTTATTTTAAAGTAAAAATCAAAGAGTCAGCTATACCATTTGCATTTAATGTAATGTAGTTTGACACGTTACGCGTGCTTAACTGTGAGAAATAGATAGTCTAAATTAGTGATCTGGGTTCTCATATACAAACTTGCTCTTCCGTATCTGAAAGTTGTTTTACTAGTCATTCTTCAAATTACAGTGATAAAAGGTAGAATAATATCATATGTGCCACTTCAGCAGATTAAATGAGAATGCTCTTGTGTGAGGCTCTGAACCTTACATGTTTAATCTCTCCCTTTTCTTCTCTCATCAGTTCCCTTTAATGACTGCTGAGCTCAGAAAAGCTCTTGTAGCGAACCCACTGATTGCTTTCAACTTGAGATATGATACGACTTAATAAGTAACAGAGTTATAAATAGGACAGCAATCATATATACCTATTATAGTAAAAAAAGAGAGGGTGAATCTGTGGATTGAGTAATGTTCCTACAGCCTGACATTTCATGGTTTATTAATGATATTGTCATTGATTATGGTTATGATTACAAGAGGGAGCAAATGTATACACACACACACTATACATGTTGCTTTAGAGAAAAAAGAAGTAGGGAATATATGGCACATAATGATCTGAAGAACTTCAATGTGGAATATGCAGCAGTTCACACAAGGGATAGGTGAGCACAGTTTTGACCTCTCTGTCTTTTCTAGATCATACCCTCATCATTCCCCCATTACCTGTTCTGCTTTAACGGGGTAGTTGGGGCTGCGGCTAAGGCAGGGTGGGGGTGGGCAAGCCTTTCTTTCAAGATGCTCTACAGTGGGCTTGAAAAATTTTAGCAAGGGGTTCTCTGCCCAGTTGCTGGGTGGGCGTGGCCATGGTGGGTGTGGCCTAATCGGCCTTTTGCACCACGGCGGAGGGGGCGTTTTTCCCCTCCCTGGGCTCCGGAGGCTTTCCTCAAGCCTCCAGGAGGGCAAAAACATCCTCTCCAGGCTCCAGAGGTCCTCTGCAGCCCTTCCCAAACTTCTGGTAGGCCCGTTTTTTGCCCTCCCCTAGCCGCCGTGTGCGGCCTGCACTTAGCTGCATCCAAAACGGGCCATCAGGGGACTCCTGGGAGGGGAGGGGGGGGCAGCCAGGAGTGGGATTTGGGGGTTCTCTGAACTGCACAGAAACTTAGCTAGAGGTTCTCCCGAACCCCTACAAAGCCCACCCCCGTCTACAGGTAATCCTCACCCACAGTTGGCATAGGACAGAAACTTCTGTCGCTAAGCAAAGTGGTCATTAAGTGAGTTGCACCCAATTTTATGAATTTTTTAGCCACGATGGTTAAGCAAATCTGTCTTCCCCTGACTTGCTTGTCAGAAGGCCCTTGGGAAGGTTGCAAACGGTGATCATGTGACCCTGGAACTCTGCAACCAATGTAAATACATGCTGGTTACCAAGGACCCAAATTTTGATCATATGACAATGGGGTTGCTGTAACCAGTGCAATGGCTGGACACTTTATTTAATGAATCAACATATTTTTTATATCTCATTTCGAAAAGTGACTTATAACCAGTCCTTGCACTTTTTGAAAACAGTGCATATTCTTCATATTCTGTGTGTATACACTTGCTCGGTCTTGTAGTCAACACCATAATCAATGACAATATCATTAATAAACCATGAAATGTCAAATGTTGCCATTTCGAACAGTCATTAAACAAATGGTCCTAAATTAAAGCCTACTGATATTCCACTCATAACTATTAACTTTCAAGCCAAAGTTAGTAAATCATACGAAAGCAAAAATAAATGTGCTAATTCATTGATTGAATTGAACCATTTCATATATTTCATTTCTGAATGCACATCCCCTGTGAGGTTATTGTTCATATCATTTAACATAATCGAATACACAATAGATTAATTGTTTAGCCTTCTTCATTTTTACTGTAAAGAGAGATAAAGGAGGTAATGGCTAGGTGCCTTATTTGACTAAGGTATTTTTTAGCAGAATTCAATTGAATTGATGGAATAAAGTTTAAAACTTACTCTGAAGTGCGTATTTCAAAATTGTTAAACTGTGGTATACTTAATCCAATCTAAAAAGTTGGTATCCTCATTATTTGTCCCACTGTAGTTATATGAGTAAATACAGTGTTATTGCAAATAACAGCCACCACTGCTCTTCCTCAACCCTTGAATTTTGAATGAAATTTGATGTATTCTGTGTTATATATGCTACAAAGTCATCTGGATTGTACTTGCAAAAAGTTATCAGTGTAGCTCACAAATTCTAGCTTCCAGAAGTGAAGAGAGGCAAATTCTAAAGTAAAGAAGGCATAGAAAAATAAAATAAAGAACTCACAGAAATTGAATGTTAACAATATTCGTGAATACTGTAGAAAGAAATGAAAAGAAATATTTAGGATTTTAAAGTTGATCTTTATAATATTAAGAGAGGAGTTATCAACTCTCAGGATGAAGTGCTGGATATTAACTACAATACCACTGCAGATATATACTTTGTTGAATAGTGTTCAATATATTCAATATAGTTTGCACACGCAAATCGCTATTATATGCATAGTTCAGTGAGTATCTTCCAAAATCAAACCTGGAATTAACTAAAAGGATGGCAGTGTTTGCATACTGTAGCCCCAAATGAGGTTTTTCCCCATCAAATTAACTTTATTTATTTTTAATAAACATATCTAATACTCATCCCTCCTCCTATTTTCCCCACAACAACCTGTGAGGTGAATTGGGCTGAGAGAAAGGGAATGGCCAAAGTCACTCAGCCAGCTTTCATGCTTAAGGCAAGACTAGAATTCACTGTCTCCTGATTTCTAGCCTGATGCCTTAAAGCCAGTCAATAGATAAAATATATTTACACTCACAAAACCTTTTCAAATCATCACCCTATGGCAAGCTTTGCATTATTTATGCCCTGTATCTTGTCATCATCTTTTTCCTGTAGTGCTTTTACTCCTGACAATAAAGACTTCAGGAGCCTTTG